GAGAGAGCGAGAGAGCGAGGGAGAGGGAGAGAGAGAGAGAGAGAAGCGTTAAAACCGGAGTTAAAATTACCACAAGTGCAAATGCAGTGTTGTTTCTGATTTCTAACACAAACAAATGTAGTCTGCTGCAGCCTTTGGTTTCTCCAGCTGTAGTCGGGCTGAGGCTCAAGGCCTGCGGTAGTATACATACATGCAACACAAATGCAAGTGGTGAAGCGTCAGTTAAAAGATCTTTCTGTAGTATCTTTCAACTGAAGTGGAAAACAAAGGATTGCTAGTAGTGATGAAAAGTATTGTTGTTCATCCATGCTACTGTAGTGAAAACAAAAGAGGCGTGGTCCTCAGTAGCTCAGGTTTCAGTCCAGAATGTAGTCGGACTGAACGGAGTTGGTGAGGAAACACTTGTAGTTGTAGCCAGGCCCGTAGCTCAGACCAATGTTGAAGCCGATAGTTCCGTACCTGCTCCAGTCGGTGGTTCAAAGAAGCGAAGAGTTGATCACAAAGTGTACGGTGAAGTCCGGTGCACCACGTAACGCAGTCGATTGTCGTCGACCTCTGGTGGTGCTACCTGGTGCTGGTAGTTGTGGAGGTAGTGGTGAAGTTGCAGTCTCTGTTGTGCGGTGAGGTCTGTCATGGTGAGTTGTGTGTGAATCCATAGTAGTGGATGCTTTTGCAAAGGATCGTAGTGATTGCCTTGTGTTGAAAGTCATGTAGTTGTTCCTGGTTGTTGAGGTTTGTGAAGTAGGTCAGGTAGGAACAAGGGCATGTGGTAGTTCCAGATGTAGTTGTTCTTCAAACTGTAGATCTCAGTAAACCTGCCCATGTCAGAGCCCACCTTGTGGCGGCATGGGATCTGGAGCAGGATCTGACATGTGCTCGTCCGGTCAAGTTGGAGGTCTTGGATCAGGCTATAGGATGGTCCGGTTGATCAAGTGCCGGAAGTACATGGGTAGTAAAATGTGGCTGGTGCCACACCTGGACCGGCTGCTAGGGTGTGTCAGAAGGTCGAGGTGAATTCGTCTGATCCATAATGGGATCTACCTGAACGGGCATCGGCTTGATAGCCGGTGCATCTGAGAAGGAGTGATGGACCGATGAGTGCATCACCGCATGCCATGTCTTCGGATTGTAGACGAGTTGTGAACGTTGTAGTGAAGTGAACGAATTGTCCTGAGGTAAGGTAATTGAAAAGTTGTTCTTGCTCAACACGCAGTCTGACAACAATGTAGCTGTCATTGTGGCTTGTTGTGGCGCGCAGTGTTGCACGTTGCATGCCTCTGCAAGTGTGATGCTGAGTAGTGCAGAGTTGTAGTGGGGCATCCTCAAATCACCTGAGATGCACCGTAGTGGTCGTGTGAAGTCAAGTTGTCCAAGTGGTGTCGATTGTTGAAGTGAAAGTAGTTGGTACTCTTCAAGCGTGAATGCAGTGAAGAGTTGAACGCAGTGAGCGTTGTTGTGGAGAAGTGGTGTCTGCGTTGTCTGGTACTCGGTGATGTGAAGTTGTTCCATGATGGCTGATGGGTGGTAGTAAGGTGTGGTATTGGGTGTAGTGTGGTTGAAGTGGTAGTTGTTCTTGTCGTAGTGAGGTGGTGTACTTGAAGGGGCGTGAGAGTTAGTATTTATTTGCATGAGTTGTTATGTACACACAGCACATACGCACCCAGTTTACACAACTTACACAAGTTCACTTAGTGCAGTTAGGTACCTCACACATACAGGACTTACTGCATGAATTTGGCGAACTTAGCCAAGTCCGCTAAATAAAAAACCGACTCAGAGTTCAGACTAAATATGCAAGGGCTCTTGCTCACGGGTGACAAACAACTATGTATGACTTGTGCTTTTCCAGTGCAAGAAGGAGGGTGTATATAGGGAAGACAATGGTTGAAAGGCAGCAAAGGAGAACGCTTGCAAGCCCATATATACCAGGAAGGCATGCAATGAAGAAGTAAGATGGAGGGCCAAGAGAGAAGCAACACCAAGCAACGCGAAGGCGTGCGCGGGGCAGGCGCGAAGGAAGGCACAGAAATAAGTATAAGGACAGATATGAGAGAGAGAGAGAGATATAAGGCAAGAAGAAGCAAGCCAAGGTGGGAGGCGCGCCGTGCTATAAAAAACCACATATATATATATATATCAGCAAAGCGATACTGGAGGGAGCATTATAATGTTTCATGATGAACCCATATAAAGGCAGTATGACTTGGACAAACAAAAATGTGAAAGAGCGATTGTGTAACCCCCTCAAAATGTGTTACCCGCGTGCAGGGCTGAGGCTCGCAAGCAGGTCACGCAACGTGCCCCGTGCATGCAATTCAGTCACTGCTTTTCCTCAAGTCGCCCGTCAGTCAGGCAACACAACAATGGCCGTCTCCCCTTTCAACGAGAACATGCACGTGTCCGTGATGCCGCGAGTCTTCACCAGAAAGGCCTCGCCCTTGACGCGGAAGACGCAGCCATGAACAGTCTCCCAAGGCGACACGCAGGTCCAGCAAACACCGTCTGCCTCCACCGTGTACTGGGCAAGGCCAACCCTGGGACATCCATCCATGGTGAAGCACACGGCATCGTTGTGTGACAAAAGGTAGCCGCCACCATGAACAGCCTGTGCTGCGGTAAAGATCTCCTGGGTACCCAGAACCGGGCCTAGCACATCTTTCAATCTGCGCGGGGCAGGTCTTTTGGAAAGAATGCGGACAACACCCAGTGACATGCGCTCTTCATCGGAGAGCTCGCGCATGGACTGCAGGGCAATATCTGAAAGCACTGACTTCTCAAACGCCTTGCTTGTGTCGAGCACGTGGTTCGCCAGCTTTTTGACCATTTTGTGCTTCCTTTCATGTGTGAAGCAGCTGATAAGAAGCTGATGCCTGGCCAACTGCAATGGAAGATGTAGAGCAAGGTGACACTTGGGTGTCCAGTGCTCAATCCCACACTGCTCCTGGAAGCCGTCCAAATGCAGCCGGATTCTGCGCGCCAGTTCTGACGCCTGACCTTCTGGAGCATGGGATCTGGCCAATGAAAGCAGCATGTCCGCAACTTCCATCAAACGATAGAAAGCTGCACAGTCCTGCTTGAGGGGCGGGGTCGCGCTGTCCCACACGAAGAGGTTGACAAAGACGCGCAGCAGAATGCAGAAATTGATGGTCTCAGAAGCACTGCACTTCAAAGGGTCAGACGCCTTGCGCTTATCCAAAACTCTGTGCGGCTTGGAACCACGAAGCCGGGCAGGATAGCTGAACCCATCAATGAAATCCTCAATTTCCTTCTTGGCGTGACCAGCAGCCAGCAGTTTGCCAAGAAACAAGCCTGCATGGGTGTTGGCAATGCCGTGCACGAAATATACGTGAAACCAGTCGTACATGGTGTCCACTGCCAATCTGCCGCCAACAGCTTCATGGCTCATGACAGTCTCATTTTGCCAATTGAACCCCAGCGACTGCTCGAGTTTGGCAAAGGCACCTTTGGCCAGCAGCGGTTGCTGGGCACGAAGGTAGTCAAGAGTCGCTTGCACTGATTCTGCGTTATGCAACCGAAAGCGAGACATGTCAGTGCAAGTGGAAGCAACCAACCTTTCGGAAGCATCATGCGAAGTCAGGTCGGCCTTGTGATCGATGCAATTTTGGCATTGCAAGCAGAGGACCGTCCCTGCAGCTCCTTTGTTGCCGCAAACTGACTTGATGGCGGCCTCATCCGAGATCATGAAGCCAAACTTGGCAAACAACATTTGAGGCTGCTCGAAGTTCAGCAGCATTCCAGCCCGAAAGTCATGCCGAGTGAAAAACAAATCAAGCACGTGACGCATCAAAATTCCCATGCCCCCAACTTTCTTCACCACGGACGACCTCACAGTTGTGGCCGTCAGCCAGAAAGACTCCATAGCCAATGCGTGGGACCCCAGTTCGGCGAAGGAGAAGTAAACAGTTTGTAGTTTGCGCTCGTTTACGTGTTTGAGCTGGTTCCCTGGGCTCACCTCGTCACTATATATGACGAGGCGCCAGGGACGCTCAAACGAAGATGGGCATACTTGCAGTCTGTGCAAGAAAAACTCTGCAAAAGGCTGGCAGTTCTCAATGGAAGCTGTCAACGTGGCAGCCGGGTGCAGCACAGGGATGTTCAGTGTCCTGCCAGAATCATCTGCGTAGGGCACATCTACAGCCTGTAGCAGAGGCCCATTGCTGGTCTGAAATTCTTCCAGGCGTTCCTCTCTGGCCCTTTTGATGGATCTTCTAGAGGTTGCTGCAGGCAAGCCGTCTCGGGCAATGTCACGTAAAACCTCCTGCAAGCCCCGGCATGAGACAAAGGAACGCGCTCCCAGATCTGCTAAGGCTGCCATCGCAAGCGTGCTGGGAAACTATGTCACCTTTAAACAATGTTCATGTCGTAAGGTTAACAATGTTCATGTCGTAAGGTTGGAAACATGACTCAAGCGCGTGAACCAGAACATGCATGAACCAGTTTGTCGGGACGACGCGCGAGCGTACACCGCCCTGCGCGCACTCCAGAAGTCTTCACATGTACCATTCAAGCATGCAAACAAAAAGGCTGCGGTCACACGTGCAAATATTAGCTTCACGCGTCGCTTGCAGGGCAATGCTCGCAAGCCTGCTCCATCGTGAACATGTGACAGCTCGCAAAACAATTTTCCACACATCGGTCCTACAGCTGCATATACAAAACCAAAATTGCAGTGCCCTGTGCACTGCCCCTCCATCTTTGGATGTAGCCACGCATCGCCAATCACGGGGCATAGCAACTGGGAGTGCAGCCTGGCTTGTGGCGGCACTTGTGACAGCCGCTGGGCCTGCTCGCAAGGCGCTTGCTCCAGGGCCATTGTCGAACTTCTTCACGGGTGCGCTCCGTTGCGGACATGGACTTGGCTTTGGCTTTGACAGCTGCCTTCTTCTGCGGCATTGCCTTGGCCTTGCCTTTGCCTGCCGGCTTCTTTGCCACAACCTTTGCAGATGGCCTTCTCATGCAGCTGCTGGCAGCTGGCCTCTTCATGGGGGGGCGACTGCTTGTTTCATCCTCCTCCTTCGGCTGCACATGGGCACCAACTCCTTCTCCTTCAGCCCGCTTTGAGAAAGCTGATTAGCTTGCTCAGCAGGAGACAGTGGCTGTTCCTGATTCTGGGGAGGTGATTCCTCTGGCGGAGTCAAAGCCTTGGCGGCAGGAGTCGTGTCGGACTTTTCGGGCTGCGGCAACGCCGGCGCCGCTTTGGTCGTGAAAACCTGCAGGTTCTTCAAGCCCACGTCAGCCTGCGCATTCTGCATTTGCATGAGCATGCCCAGCAACGAATTGATCCCGGACATCTCAATGCCACTGCTGGGCTGAAGCGCTTCTGCGCTAGTAGGCCTGGCCATCTTGTTGGACTTTCTTAGCACCATGGATCCGGACGGCTGCGCAGTGCAGCCAGCGGGCGCATCGTTTGCATAAGCCTTCTGCCGCACCGGCTCGGGCAGCCCAGCTGGAGAGTCAGGGTATTTGATGATGTGAACCCCGTCTGCACATGGCCATTGCTTCGAAGCGCTCTTGAGGAAGCGCTTGAAGTCACGCACCGCCTCCAGGAACAGCTTCCCATCAGAAAGGCCGGAAGTTCCCAAGTGGCGCAGTGTTGAAACAACGTGTCCGCAAGTGCTTTCGTTGGGCCACTGCAGCCCAATGGAAGCACACCTCACAGCGGCCAGCTGAAGTTTGGAAGCCAAACTGCACGGAGTCTCCAGGATCGCTACATCCCCCTGGCTGAGAAAGGCGGAAAAGTTGACACATTCCTGGTTTTCCCGCTTCTGGCGCAGCTTGCGCCCCTCCTTTGGGCTGACCTGGAGGCAAAGCTGCTGGGCTTGCTCCTCAGTCCAGGGCCCCTCGCCAATCAGCTTGGAACATTCAGTGCTTTCCTCTATGGACATCCCAGACAAATTGTGAAGCTTTTGCTTCATTGACTCCATCTGAGATTGCCTCACACCATCCCAGTGCTGTCCCAGACATTTCTGCTGTGTTCGCAGAAACGCTTGGATGCCTTGCAGCTCCTGAATCAGCTTTTGACCGGGCGTGGTCATGGCCCTTGGAAAACAAAGCCGGAGGGCACTAACACAACTATAGCATCAGGAAAACAAATGAGCCAGCGCGAGAATGAAGGCACCAAGCTGCAACTCTCCACGCTGTGAACTTGCACAACCGTGCATTCAGAAATGTATGACCCTGCAAAGCAACCGCGGTCAAAGCGCACATGTGAGTCTTTTTGGGCCTCGCCTGCACCGTGGCAGATTCACAAAGCTCAGAGCACACCGGCGATGTGCAGCCACTGGCCCTTTCGAAGGGCCGCTTTCCACACCTTCAATCTTTGGTCTGCTGGCCGGGTCTTGCGCCGGCACCGCACCAACGAGACAAACGAACGGAATGGGAAGGGGCGCTCCACAACACTCCGAGACCAAAGCACCACATGGCCGGCAGGTGCCATGACTGGAGACCCGTGCCACAGCAGCTTCACCCGGCGATGCAGGAGCTGCAACTTGATCTTTGCCAGCAACTCATGGTGCGTCACTCTGTCAGTGTCCTTGAAGTTGAGGGCCCCCAGGTGCTGGCCGGTGATCCTGGCGATCTGGAAGTGGATGCCCGCGCCGTCTTTCAAAAGCTCGCCCTGAAGAACAATGTCCACCAGTGGTCGCACACAAACAGGAGGAAAGGTTCGGTGTGTGTAGATGGTGGATGCCACGCCATTCATGACAGTTTCCTCATGCTTGGTGTACTTCACAGGGCCCATGGACCAGGCCACTGCCAGAAAGATGACCCCCTCACTGCCTTCGTGCCGCCGCACTTGAAAGGGGGGAAGCATGCACCAGCAGAATTCGTTCTTGACTTTCCAAGGACGACCATGAAGCACTGCCCACTCATAGGCCATGATGACAAAGGAGCAACAACTAAATGTCAGCGTATTCAGCTCGATGTTACACCACAGCAACGCGGACATGTAGGAAATGCAAAGAGAGCCGAAGCTTGAAGCGAGCCGCACAAGCCCTTCTATGTAGAACAGTGCATAAATCTTGCTCACAGCCGCATGCGAGATTGGATCCCTGCACGCGGCCAACCGCAACCAGAAATCCAAGCCAAGCTGCAAGTGCACGCACTGATCCCTCACATTCCCCTCGCGCTGAGAACCGTTCCACAGAAAATCATGCCCTCACTTACTGGTGAACAAATGTGCCACTGGCCGGATAATCTCTGACAATGGAGCAGGATCCTCGAAAAAATCCAGGTGAAAACAACTTCAATAAAGAAGGCTCCCAGAACATCTGTGAAAATTGTATCCACTCAGGATGTCATCTATGATGTCCCTATATGCAACCCGCAGCACGACCCATGTGCAGTGTCGATGAGGTTTTTCCCGGTACCACATCTCATGGCTTCAGACTGAAAGGATGGACTAGCCATTGTTTTGGATGTTGCCCTGACTCAAGTTCAAGGGGCACAGGTGAATGTCATCCCTTGAAACCCTTACACAAGAGGCCCCGTGCTGGGCTTGGATTTCAAATGTTTTGTGAAATAATGCCGGAAGAGGCGGCACGCTACATCCATTTGGGTCCCTCTGTTTGGGTGAAAAAAAGACAACCCAAGTTCTGCATCCAAAACAATTGCAAACACAATGAGACTTGGTGCTTTCCATCCGACTCAACCCTGCACCCGCGACCTCTTTCCTCACAGCTCGCGTGCAAAGAAGGTGGCATGTGGCCACGTGTGGGCATTTTCTGCGTTGCCTCTGGAGAGCAGGTGTTGCCTTCATTGACTTCATGGAACCTTCAAGGGGCCTTCATTGACTTCATGGAACCTCCAAGGATCTTCAAGGGCCTTCAAGAATATTAAAGGAACCATCATGGCAGAATTGACCTCGTAATCCAACCTTCAAAGATCCTGAATGGAACAATGGAGCCTTTGCGACCTTCATGATCCGCAACCTGTGCCTTCATGACCACATGCAGAATCGCTCTTATCTGGGCTGTCGCGCTTGCACTGGTCAGTGCATTCTTGGACACATGATGACGTACCGGGTTCATCAAGACACCATGAAACGCCGTATGATTCGTTCAGCCAGGAGTGATTGCACGATGTCACACTCATAGCATGTCACTGTGCACATCCGTTTTTTATCAATCTATAAACTTCATTCAGCCTGGCTGACCGTTTTTTTTTCTCAATCTATAAACTTCATGCCGCCTCCCTGACTGTTTTTTTATCAATTGATAATATTTGTTGGTTGATGCGACTCACCAGTACATCAGTTTTTATCAATTGATAAAAAAACGGGGGTACCTGTCACTATTTTTTTATCAATTGATAAAACAGAGCCCCACCCACACGACTAAGTTTATAAATCCATAAAGGTGTCACCAGCCGCTCAGCTCAAACATCAAGACAAGGACCCTTGTTTTGCACCTTGTGCACTGGCCAGTCGAAGCGCCCCTCAGCAAAACTGCGCCTGGCCAGCAGGGTTTGGGTGCGTGTGTTCCCCTTGCAGAGGACAGTCTCAGGCCTCCTCCAGCTCAACCGTGAACTGATCGTCGCAGGGCCTGGCGAATGGGAATAGTGTGCATTTTCGACACCCAAACAGATTCACGAACGCCTCTCCTCCTCGATCAGAGCTCCAGCTCCTGACGAACCCCGCGTCGCAAGAACAAGAAATCAAGCAAGTCCAGCATAAACCCAAAGAAGTCTCCTCAATCCGATCGCTCTCGATGGCGAGATCCGGCCGCCGCCTAACAAGTTGTTCCAACCATGCCATGCCCAGTTCAAACGGGACAGGCAAACGGCCTCCGCCATGGAGCGCATGCACTCCGCAACGTGCCCGACTGCCTGCAAGGCCTCGCAGCACGCGAAGGAAGCTCATGTGTCTTGGAAAATGCAATCCAATCGCCTCAGCTGCAGTGACCTTGCCACCGCGGCCCCGTGTTCGAGGGCGATCGCGGCCACTGCCAGGCCTCACCATGCAAAACCACCGTACATGACGTGGCCACGAAAATTGAGGCGCTTCCGACAAGTGTCCTTTTAGTTTCATGGCAAATGAGAACTAGGACACTTGTCGGACCTGCCTGCGGTCAATGCATGACTGAGATCGATGCGGAAGCCATTGGCCGGACTCCGCATGAAGGTACCGGTTCCCGAAGTAGAACCCAGCACCGCTCCGGTCCGGAACAAGGGCTCCTGGGCAGTGAGCTCAAGTTGACCTTCAAAGCAAGCTGCAACGATCAGGAAATACCGAATGAGCTGAAAACAATACCCTGACAACCGTGTACAAGGCTTGGTTTTGGAGCACATTCGGTCTTTCCGGTGACTCATGCGTCAGCCAAAAGGCCTGCAGGAATGGCCGTCACCACCTACCGTGGTGTGGGCTCTGCTGAACTATGCAACATGCACCTATACATCAACACAGGCCTGAGTCTGCTCGCGCTGGAGAACCATCATGCCCCCCTGCGTGCAAACTAGCGCGCGAGCTCAATGCCCTGCACGCTGACCAAAAAACACAACCCACGCCTTGCCACCAGTTTGGGCCGCGGGCGGCGGTGGGGGTGGGGGCACCGCCAATGCCGATGGCGGGGGCGGTGGCGGTGGTGGGGGCAGCTTGGGCATGGCCTGTGGCGGCGGGCGGGCCTTGTGCGGAATGGGCGTGTAGGGGGACGCCTCCATTCCATCCAGGGTCTCAAGCTCAGCATGTGGCATGTGCAACATGTGGTCTGTCCTTCTTCTTCGGCTTGAGCGTCACGGAGGATGCCACCTGCACATGGCGTTCGGACCAGCCAGCATCCCTGCTTTTGCAAACCAAGGGCCAGACCCTGCGGCTCTTCGCCGGGCGCTCCTTGCAGGAGCTGCTGCTGCTCTCAGCCTGCAGCAGCAAAGGAAAGCTCGCGGCAGTCCAATCAAGACGCCGCAGGGCATCATGTGACATGTTCCGAAAATAAAACAACACTCGCCTCCTCCACCAGATGCACGTCTTCGTCAGAGTCCTGCAGCGACAGCCGCTTCTATATATGACATGGTCACCTTCCTTGAACACTATAGTGTTCAAGGAAGGTGACCATGTCACAAGCAAAGGGGGTGCCTCGAGGGCCTCCTCCGGTCCAGGCTCAACAGCCTATCAGATGAAGGCAAGACTCACGAACGTGACGAACACAGCAAAGGAAGCTCCGAGGCACCAGCATCTCGATCAACCTCCTGGAGAAAGCAAGTTTCAAGCGCCCCCAATCTGGCTCGAAGGATGTCCCTTGAATCTGCTTCGGATTTTGGGGCAAGCTTCCAAACCTTTGCAAGAGAAGTCGATCGTCCTCCAGGCGAAGGCTCCCATCGGACCACCCGCGGTTCAGGAAGAGCCAGCCTGCAATGATTGGCAAGGCTGCATCCACAAAAGGTGACAACCCTCACCTCCAAACTGAATTTGAAGCACAACGCGCTAACATGCCAGTGTCGCCTTCCATGGGCGGCCTCATGGAGCCCCGTTCCGGATGCTTGAAGAGCGTCTGACCTGCCAGGATGAGTCAAAAGCGAGATGATCCCATGCTGAGTTAACATATGGCCTTCTCGTGTCATGATGCGCCACCCGGTCCGCTTTGTCCACGACATGATCGCGTCGTCGTTGCCGAACGTGCCGTCATCCTGCGTGGCAAACGCTTCAGTTCGACACATGTGGATACGTATGTGGCGCTCCTTCTCCTCCATGTTGTTTGACAGCCCCAGCTGGTCGAAGCACATCCACTCCGCCTCATCGGCGTCCTGCAGATCGACCAGCAAAGGTCAGGCATGGACAGGAGGGGGGTGGACTGGCAGGAAAACTTTTGATTCAACAAGATCCAGTCCCAGGTCACCCAAATTGACTTGACCTTCGTTGCATACAGGGCGAAAGGGTTTCAGCACTTCTGCAGCCTACCAGGGACCTTCAACGGGGTCATCTGATCACGATTGTGTGTCCTGATCGTCAAAAAAGCAGTATTCGAGAACTGACCAACCCGATCCTCCGCGCAGAGGAACCTGATCTCCATGAGCATGGCGGCGCGTGTTCCGATGTCGACCAAAATGTCATGCAGTGACATGCTATGTCATGCCATGCCGTTCCATGCCATGCTATTCCATGCCATGCTAGATGCCATGCTATGCCATGCCAGATGCCATGCTATGCCATGCCATGCCATGCCATGCACAAAATGCCTGCGGCAGTCAAAGGCGCACTCACAAGCAAGTTGAGACCAGCAAGACGCATGCATGTGTTTCAAGAAAGGGACCTCTGTATCTGCTCGCTCACACGCCGAAACCCGAACACACACACACATATATATATATATAAACATATTTATACATATAAAACTGTCTCAGTACAACTCGCAACATCTACATCTTTCCGCGCAGACATCTCCTAATCTGAAGACTCAGCCGACTTCTCACCTTCTTCGGACCTTGGAGATTCCTTTGCAGCCCGACTCTTCTGCCTTGGAGCTGGCACCTTGGGGTCAGACGCCAAAATGCCTGCCTTCAAGTGCTCAATGTTCTCGGCTGTCATTTCCATCCAGCAAGTGCCGGACCCAACTCCTTCGAACAGCATCAGGACAGGTCTGGCCTCCAAGATGTCCCCGGACAGCGTTGTCACTCTTGGAAGGGTCACTGTCAAGTGATGCGGAGCAACATTGGCGTGCTTCAGCGCATGCGCTCGCACGCGGGCCCTCTTGAGCTTTGGCTGGGGCTCTTCAGCCTCGTCATCTGAGACTCGCAGGGCATCAGTCACGGCTCGGTTGGCTGCGGCCTGCCTTGTTCACTGTGGGGCCATTCTTGTCTTTGCGCAAATCCAGGCTCCGCCCCGTAATGAAGTGGACAAACCCACGGTCCCACTTCTCGAATTTCAGCCAATGGCGCTCCTTCTCCTCCTTTTGGGTCGGGATCCAAAGTTGCTCTCGCCCTCTACTGTTCTGGTAGCGGCAGACCTTCTGGGTCTCCAAGATCACGCGGTCCATTGATTTGGATGAGGGGGGATGGGCAGGAATGCTTGGCGGAACCTATATAGAAGCACTGCAAGCATGCCAAACTGTTATGCTGTCGCATGTGTGCTCAAGCATGCGGACAACCATGTGCTCAAGCATGCGTTCAGTCTTGCAGATGCGCAAGCCTACAATACATCCCAAGCCGGCGAGCCAGTAGCCCTGCCGTGCGAGATGTGTGTGCGCCGCTTCACTTTTGTTTGACCCGCGCGGTCACTGCAGGGGATATACAGAGCATGTGACTGAAAGCTCAATGCTGCAAAAGATCATGAAGACAAACCATGCATGGGTGCTTGATCTATGATATTGTGTACTTTATGGGTCAACATGTGGTTGCATGAGCCTTGCTAAAAAGTGCAATCACATCACTCCTCTCCAAGATGATTCAGCAATCTCACTCGGCCGCGTCAGCGGTTCGGCGGCTCTTGGCAGGGGTGTGCACCTTGGTCTTGCCGGGCGACTGCTCCAGCGGGGCCACCTCGGCCTTGCGCTTCTCCTTGAAGTACATCAGCCGGTCGCCCTCCTTGAGCGCCTTCCCGTTGCGAAAGCAAGGAATCTTGATGCCGGAGTCTGCCCTCAGCCAGTGAAGCTGCAGGTTGGCGAGCTCGCTGTCGTGGGTTGGTTGCACAAACCAAAAGGGTGCCATGAATCCCTGCTCAGACTCCTCCTTCGGGATGATGGTTGGGTTGCTGAGCCAGAATGTGGCATCATCGCCCCAGGAAGTCTGGACGTTGAAGGAGCTGGCAGGGATCTCCTTGAAACCCGCGTGGCTGCCAATCTTGCCAGTGACCGGGATCAAGGTCAGCTCATGCTTCTGGAACTTGCCTGCGCATGCCAAGGATTTGTTTGGCTTGACCTGCGCGTGCAGCTTGGCCCACCCTTCGCCTTCAAACTTGTCACTTTGGGCACGGAGCTCCAGCATAATCTTGGAGGCTGTGAGTTGAAGCTGGAAGGAGCTGTTCTGGCTGGGCCAATGCTCATTGAACGCCATGGTTTCAGCAACTGCCTTGGGCACAAAGCGCACCCACTCCTGGCTCATGAATGCCGCCAGGGGAACCTTGCACGTCACGCCATCCACCTCCACCCGCACTTTCTCCTTTTGGATGTCTTTGATGACGCCCTCTGTGCGGTCTGCCTTCCTCCGAACATGATCCCCAACCTGGTAGCCGAGCTCCTGCAACACAGCAACCGGGTTCTTGAAGGACCCGTCTTCCCGTAGCTCCCGCATAAGCATTGCCTTCGGTGCCGCGCTAGACGAGGCCTGCGCCGTCTCCGTGATCTGAGCTGCTTCTTCCCACCTTGAAGGAATCGCATCATCTCCGGTGATGTTCCTCAAAAGGAGAACGAAGTCGTGGCAAATGGCGCCGCTGGAGTCATACTTTTTCTCGTTGGGCAACCTCAGCCCAATGGCCCATGCCGCCAAGGCAATGTCGGACAAGCGCAAGGCAACAAACACCCTGGGGTCGTCCAGCAGCTGGGCACTGACATGCCGCGTCAAGGCTCGAAGCTCGGCCATGGCCGCTTCTGCTTCAAGCACCTTGCTGGCGTTCTCCTGGCTGAACATCTTCTTTGCCACATCTTTGCCACAGCACTGGCGAAAGCATTGCATCCTTACCAGCGCGTGACGGAAGCGGCCGAGGGCATGGCCGGAAAGCTTGGCCCGGCCATCCTGCGCAAGGACTTGCCACAGGTCAGGCCCGAGCCGCCTGCCAGGCTGGCAGTGCACAAACCTCTCCGTTTCAGCCAACAACGTGCCATCTTTCCCGCCGGAGGCCTTCAGCAAGAATTGGTACATTGCCGGCACGGAAGCGGCGCACTGCGGCTTGCTGGCCAGTGCTTGTTTCTTTATCAGCTGGAAGTCGGGATCGCTGGCCTGCACGTAAAGGGAGTGGATCCTTCGCAGCACCTGGAACTCGCCTTCCCCCCTCTCCAATGAGGTGTTGCCGTACTGCTGCAGCAGGCGAAGGAATTCAGGAAATTCTTGAGCAACTTCCTTGTCGAGGATCTTCCAGGTCACCCCTTCGGTGATGGCCTGCCACATCAGCTCATCTCGGGCCCGGATCTTCTCCAAGGAGATGCGGCCCTCCGAGCAAATCGCCGGGTTGTCGTGCTTGACTTGCTGCTCGCATATCCGCAGCACAAAGTTCGTGTGCGACCCGCACAGGGTGGCGGCCTTGAGAACCGCCGGCTCCAAGTGGCCCAGGGCGCCGCCGGCGTTGGCCACCAGTGTGGCATTGAACTGCCGAACGTGCTCGCCCTCGATCTCCACAGCGATAGCGTTCACTCGCTCCGGCAAAAAGCCCACGGTGGCGATGGAGTCCAGCAAGTCTCGCACGTCCCCCGCATTGACTCCGAGCCCGTCGCGGTTTGACGGGTGAACACCCAGGTGTTGGGGCTGCATGCGAATCATATGCACAAGGTGGGCCGACTGCAAGGTTGCCAAAATCCCGTGCACCGTTGAGACCAACTTCTCGCCATCCTTGGCCTTCGCCAGCATGGACTCCACTTGGCGCCGCACAGCCATGGACACCAACGTCATTGCTAGCGAATGCAAGTTCGTGCGTAAAGCGCAAATTGATCTCACAAACAGGCTCGAGCACATGACATGCAGCAATCATGGCGAGTGCATATTTGCAGCACGGTGATCTGCCGCTGACGCGTGCGAGCAATGCCCTGCACGACACGCACATGTGCAACGATACAAATAAAACCTTTGGGAAGCAGCGCGCAATGTATATAGGCGAGTTAGGTTGAACATACTAAGTCTGCCAAGTGTGTTACACAAGTTCCATGGTCAGAGTTAGCCCACTTAAACAAGTGGAGATATAATTAGGTACATAATAGCTGGTAAGTACAACAAATAAATACAAGACATTGTGAAGAAGCACACTCACTTACTAAAACACACAACTAAATGCCTCATGTAGGAAAGATATAACCTCTGTTAGAGAACTTGTAAACCAACTTGCCATATATACTATGTTTCTTTTCTTCTCTAAACACATAGTAAAAGGCCCGCCCCTTCAAGTAGTGACCCTTGGTCACTGGAGTCTGCAGTCTCCACTGCACGTGGGATCAGAACTCAATTGGGTGTAGTGACGCCCGCGCTGATCAGCAGCGGCCAGTGGGCGCAAAACGTAGTGAAACGGGGCAAAAGTATGTATGTAGTGGCTATCAGGCAAGCGGCGCATGCCGACATGTAGTAAAACAAACAACTGTAGTGTTGACTCAAGCCGCCTATCACGCCGCCAAAAGTGCAAGTGACATTACATGTAGTTACTGTTACTTACATACCAAAAGTGTCATGTTACAAGTAGCTGCTACATAAACAAATGTTTGAAGTCGTTGTGTTTGTTGTTGTTGTTGTTGTTGTTGTTGTTGTTGTTGTTGTTGTCGTTGTCGTTGTCGTTGTCGTTGTCGTTGTCGTTGTCGTTGTCGTTGTCGTGGTCGTTGTCGTTGTCGTTGTCGTTGTCGTTGTCGTTGTCGTTGTCGTTGTCGTTGTCGTTGTCGTTGTCGTTGTTGTCGTTTT